CCTCCTCGCTTTTTTTGGATATTCAGGCATTTCCACCAAAATTTTTGTGAAATAATGAAAATCTGGGATTAAAAAGCTCTTTTAATAATTCAATTGCTTCATCGAATTTTAAATCTCTTGTCTTTTTGGGCAATATAAAATCTGTAAACTTGTTGTGTTCTGCCGTTCCCAGTTTTTTGTAGCAATAATCTTATTTTTTTCTCATCTGTCCATGTTTGGCAATCAACTTCATAAAAATCCTGATATCTATGGGTAGTATCTTTCGAAAGTCTTTTCCTCTTCTGGGTTATAAGTAAAACTTTCGATCGTTGACCATATTGTGTCTTGGGAAAAAATATTTTCATCCGAGTCTTTCTACTTGGACAGTATAGCTTTATGTATAAGTTCGGCCATTGCTAACTGTTTCTTTTCATTTTCTTCTTGTATTTTGTGTAGTTCCAGAAATCGTTTTGCGTTTTCTTCCTTTTGCTCTTTCTGAAATTTAAGTTGTTCTTCTTGAATTTTAAGTTGCTCTTTCTGAAAACGTTCTTCACTCTCTTGCTGTCTTTGCATCTGATACTTAATGAGTTCCAGCATAGTTGATTGAAATTGTTCCATGATTATGTATGTGTAGAAAAAAAAAAAATCATGTGTTTTTTTTTTTTTTCTCTGAGGGGGGGGGCAAAAATTCAAATTTTCTGGCACGACAAGTTTTTTTTTTTTTTTTTTTTTTTTTTAGCACAAAAATTGGTTATTATAGCTTCCAATTTAATCAATAAGTTAATGTCTAACTTACAGTTTTTTCTTTTGTCGATAACTTGTAATCCTTTGCTGTAAATGCTTGAACTCTTTTAAAATTTTTCCGTGTTGGAAATCGGTTATTATTTCTGTTCGAAGCCAAGTCGCCACTGTTGAGATGTTGTGAGTTTCCGCGTGTCGGTGTATGAATCAAGACAAACACAGTTGTAGAGGAAAATACTGGTATATTCATAAAAGCAATTAACAATAGAGTGATTAGTAGAACGAAGGTTGGTTAGTACGAAACAATATCCAAAGTCTATAGTCCAACGGTATGTACTGGGTAAGCTTATCTGGACTGCTAACCCTGACTCTCTCCCCAGAGCTGACTTATATAAGAGGGACCAGTCCATTACTAGTTAGAAGGTGGGTGCGCCCCAACATTTATTTGTTTTATTTGTTTGGGTTATTCTATTTTATTTGTTTTTTATTTTCATTTTGTATTATTTATTCTTTTTGGTTTTTGATGTTTTATTAACATAGTAAAAAGATTTGGTGAGGATTTGCTTAGGTCACTTATTTAATAGTTTGTTTTGGTCTGGGAAGATAGTTAAAGCTATTTGTTTGTCCAATGTTTAGATTGCTTGCTGTAGTCTATTCTGTTATTTTGGTGGGGTGACAGTTTTTAATTTATATATTTGGATCAATTATTTTTAGTTGTTTTTGTTTATTTATGCTTATTTTTATTAGTTCTAATTGTTATTTTAGCGGAGACAATTTAATTTGTTCATTTATTTATTTGGATTAATTTTTATATTTTTTTTATTTTTTACTTATTTTTTTATTTTTATTTACTCTATTTGATTTTTGAGTAAAAAAATAGAGTACCCAATAATGCACCATTGACCCATATATATATATATATATATATATATATATATATATATATATAATATAAATAGTCAAGGAAAAATACAACATTTGCGGCCTGATGATTGCATCTAGCATAAATATAGAACACCTTAAAACTATATTTCTTCATATATATTATATATATCTCAAATAAATAAAAAAATTATCTCAAATAAAAGAAAAAAATCTAAAGATATACTTAAGGACTACCATAATTGATTTACACTATTTACATTGTTTGGGAACTGTTCTCCTCATCTTTGTTGCCATATTCACAATGTTTCAACCGTTGTACAATCTGGCCTTCTTCAGATGATTGAAATTTTGAGCCGAACCCTTTTTGTCTACTGGGGTAGGTTTTTCTATTTCCATGTGTCATGCTTCTTCCAGATATCTTATTTTCAAAAATTGTGAATATGGCAACAATGATGAGGACAACAGACCAAATAATGTAAATAATTATAATACCTCATCTGAAAAATATAGATAGATATTGCAGGAATTGAATTTAGAAAATAAAGTTATTGATGCATAATGTAAACAAAAATATTGATGCTGAAAATCTGTGTTGTAAGCATATGGCAAAAGCTCAAAGACTTCCAAAGCTTGTGCTGCTACAAGTACTTCTCTTCATACAATAATAAAATATGTTGGATAATGTTCTAAATCTTTTCAATGATATTTAAAGTATGAGAAGAATCCTTATAATAATACTCTAAGGATTCTTCTCATACTTTAAATACCAGAGGCAAATGGTGAATCTAATTTCTCAAAGCTCAAGCTTATAAGAAAAAAGTCATGGATATACTCTACAATGCTGGAAAAGAGATGAATTGGTGTGGCATTTATAAGAGTTGAATATGTCCAAGCATCAGTACCTGATCCTGTTCAATTAGTGTCAAGATTTGTTAAGAAAAAGGCATGCAAAGTGAGGTAGTCTTTTACCAAAAATTGCAACTTATATGAAATGCTACCCCCTTTTGTTTATCTGTATTTTGTTTCTCTTACTGTAAGCAAAATATTGTGTTCATTTTGATAGCTGCAATTTAATCTAAGTTTAACATTTTTATGTCCAGACATTGCCACTACCACTTTATTTTTTCTTTTATCCTTCTATATATATTTTTTATGTATTTCCCATCTCACTTCAGTTATTGTCCACTTGTAATTCATACTTTTGTACTTCCTTTTGTATTTAATAATAATTTCAATTTAAATCCTTGATTTCATTTAAAAAAAAAAAAGATTTTTATGTGATTATTTTTACTTCATTCATAAAAGAATTTTTCTCCCTAACTGATTGATATTGTTTGTTCTGAAATTTCAAAAATATTTTAAACCAAATGTACTTTTTCCACATATATTATTTTTTTCTCTTTTTTAACTATTTTAAAATATAAATGATCATGCTATGAAATTATTTTTGCCATTATTCATTTAAAAGGGTAAAACGAAATTTTTTTTTTTAGTTTGAACTTGAGCCTTTGATATTTTCTTTACCATAAAACTTGATTGGTGTTTTTCTTTCCTAATTCCTTCCACATTTACAGTAAAACAAGTTGGATTATGCATTTTTTTAAAATAAATTAATAACATACTTTTAACTTTTGTTTTATTCCATTTATTTTTATAACTATGTTTATATCTATTCATCAACATTGTTTATTCAACTTTAACTCTTTCCTCCCACAACAAAAGGTCATTAAAAAGTAAAAGAAATGAGAATTTTCCAAAGGAAGACTGTTATAAGTCATACATTTTTAAATCTTGGTAATTTATTTGTATTATTTTCCACATTTTTGTATATTTCTTTTAATGTTTTTGGTCATGTATCCTCGATTGACCATCAGAAATGCTGGGAGGCACACAATGGAAAAATTGTGAAAAAAAAAACAACCAGACAGAAAATATTCTGGGTAAACAATATACAATGAATGATTAAAACATCTAACAAATTTTAGGGAAGATATTTCAAATCTTTAAGTTGTATCAAAAATAAAAATTAATTTTTTGTTTATTCCTTTTGTTGGCATGATAACAGTAAGAAACTTCTAACAGCATGGAGACTAACACTAAGAAAATGTTTTTTTATATCTAAAATAATCAAATAAGTGGATTCTGTTTGTGTTCATGAAAACGCTAAAACTTATTTTCCATTTGTATTTATATTTAAGAGTTCAAATTTCTTGAGATATTTTCTGTGTTTGAGAAAAAGTTGAAGGAAATTAAATTAAAAAATGCATAAAGATTTCAATTCATATATTTAAATGCACTAACATATATTGTATAAATGACTGTCACTGACTGACTTAAGGATATAAATCAATGCTGTCTATGCAGCCATGTCTCTGTTGGTTAGTTTCATTGACAGAGCCTTCCAAGATTGTAATCCATGACATCATATTAGTGCATCTATAATCTGCTTCTGTGCTTTGTTTTTTTATGAAACATCTGTTTTATTTTCAATTGAAGTTAGCATTTTTATTTTTGATGATGGTTTGTTGTTAGCTGAGATCAACATGCAAAACCAGCCCTGAGTTCAGTGAAGGAGACCCTGCTTATTAATTTTTCCCCGAGTAAATGTAATGTTGTTAAAATACCACACATGACAAATGCTTGTAAATCATCTAATAATTTATTGGTTGTCATAATATATTTTGTCAAATAAAATCATAGAATAGTTATCAGGAGTAACTGTATCTTCAAAATCTGCCTAACATAAAGCATGTGGCAACTCTTGGAAAATGAGTCGGGGGGCGGAACCCTGCTTAAAAAGCATTAAGAGAAACTATTTTTTGTTAAAAAAAAAAAAATGTATATGAAGATGTTTTAAAATTGAATTTTAAGCTGTCTAATGGCTAAAGAATTATCATTGGCATGTAGAAAACTCATAATGATACATTAGATCAAATAACAGAATAAAAGAACTGGAGATCCACTGGCATGACAAGTAGATAGAATGCAGAAAGAAATCCAAGAATTAAATACAAAATGCAAAAAGCATCAAAAATTTTCTTTCTTTTTCTTTCTGCTCTTGGCATTTTCTTATTTGTAAATGAAACAATATTTTGTAATTTAATGTTATTATTAAAAGGCCATTTTTAACTGTACAAATAACTGCCATAAAAGGGGTTCATTGAACAAAGACTTGCAGAAATTTCCTGTAAACAGTATTAAATAAGGAAATAATAGGAAATAATTATTTTCTTTCTTTCTGAAAATTTTTCTTTCATTGATATGTTGCCTTCATTCAAGTCTCGAGTAGGTGCTTCTTTATTATTAAAGTGTAATAAAATAAGTTTTTTGTTTTTCTTTTTTGTTTTGTCTGTTTCTAATTTTTAATATTCTATAATTTTCACTCTTCCTTCTAGGGAAACGGCCGTGGCAATTAAGTGGTTATTTGCTGAACCATTTGAGATAAAACCTAAAGAATGTATGATGAATGTTGGGACAACCTGTTCATTTCATGTAATCTTTCGGCCAAAGGTAATAAAATTTACATTCATATTTCATAATCACAAAAAAAAAAGAAAACGCTGATACTGCATTTTCTTCTGAATTATATTTGCATATTTTTGTACTGTATCTTTGATTAATACCTGCCATTGTTACAATATCATAAAAATAAAAACAAAATAAACTGCATATATGCTGATTATATATTAGTTTAATGCCAAGTAATATCCATACAGGAAGTTTACAGAGTTCCAATTTACTTTCTTGAAAGATGTTACTTGTGTTATGACAGCTAAAATTTGCAGAACATGTTTCAGATAATAATAATGGTACTGTCCTCAATAATATTATTAGTGGTATTCTAAATTATGCCATTATATGTATGACTAGTCAAGGTATCCAGCATTGTTCAGGTGTACATGTCTGCAATTGTGTAACTGCACCTCCCTGTACACCCACACATCACTGTCTGCCTGCATTTTGTGGGTTGTGGGAAGATATTTCACCCAGGTGGATCTATTAGTAGGGGAGAACGCCCAGCAGCTTAACTAGTTTGTCATAATTGTGGGATTAGGGGGTCATATAAAAAGGTTATGTCAGAAATCTAATGAAATTGAAACTACGAACAGATTAACAAGGTGTAAGACTGAGCACCACTACCTGCACCATCCGCTATACTGGCAGATCAAAATGGAGCTGTAAAACCAGTTTGATACTGTCCATTGCTCTGTGCCTCATCTTGTGTGGAATAGAAAGTGATTTGAAGGTGGTGTCCGACATCCACCTGACAATAGAAGGGATTATAATGTATCAAACCCATGCTTCATTTGGATGCACCCAAACTAGCACAATTAGCCATGGTAGTCATCGCACCCTCGCATTCATTGATACAGGGGCTCAAATTTGTTCAAGTTGACCAGAGACATTAAAACTACTTGGGTGCCCAGATGAGTACTTCATACCAACTAGTTGTCGAATATGTGGCATCATAGACAACCAACTTTATATAAAGGGTGTGTTGTTCATGCATATAAAAATTGGCATGAGAGAAACACAACAGGTGGTGTATGTGTCAAACAACATGTCTGTTTTTTAACTAATCAGAATCTACTCTGAAGGAACTACATCTGTTGCCACCTGATTTTCCAGCCCAGACATCATGGCTCAACTCATTCAAGGGCATAAAAGAAAATGCCCTATACACATGCTCATGGAGAAAACCCATTCCAGCAATGCCTAGTACCATCCTGTTCCTTCTAACGGAAACCAATAGGTATCTACTGAAACAATGGATGCGAGACCATTTTCGGTCCATCAGATTTAATACATCAACCCTTACAGAATATGACAGGAAAGTCATTGGGCATTACCTTCGTCCCTTATATAACACCATCAGCAGTCCACACACCAATCCCTGTCTCTCACTATTGAGGGAAATCCATCACACCCTATCCTCATTTAATCAGGTCTCCATCATTCTGGCTCAAACGAGGAAAACAGTTCTGGATGCATGGAATGGGTACCACAGCTTACCACTTTCACTAGCCACACAGGATGCCACTACATTTATCACTGATTAGTGGCTAGTACAGATATCTTCATGCTCCTCAGGGATTTCATGTATCTGGAGTTGGATATAACCATTGGTTTGGTAATATTACAGTGGATATGGTTTGAAAAACCTGCTCTACACCAGTTGAAGGTGAAACCCTGGCTCTTGTCTATGGACTAGAATCATGTCAGATGGTATATTGGGATGTCCAGATTTGCTAGTGACTCTTGACCATCAACCATTCATAACGATTTTCTTGGATCAGGCTCTCAAGAACATAAAGAATCCCTGTTTCTTTAATTTCAAGGAATGCACACTAATGTACAAATTCAGCATTAAATATCTTCCTGGAAAACTTAATGTTGCATCTGCTTCCTTCCAGTACCCAGCATGTATCCAATCAGAGGACAGAATGTCATCAAATATCATCTGCACATATGCAATGGAAATGCAGACAGTCATTTTATGAGGCGACTACAACGGATGCAGTCAAACCAATTGACATTGTATTCATGTCTACATATGAGTATGACTCTAGATTGAGGGTTATCACATGAGATAGGATCATTGCTGTGGCAGCCATTGATGAATAATTTTGCACTCTTACAGAATATATACAAACTGGTTTCCCCAAATCAGCCATGACCTCCTGTTGGTAATCTCTTGGTTTTGGCCTATGCGCGAGGAATTGTACTGTGTTGAAGGAGTACTGATCATGGAGAATAAAATACTTATACCTTGACAGCCTCATGCAGGAGTACTTGAATCCCTACATTCAGCACATTGGGGTATAAATGGCATGCTAGCAAATGTGAAATAATGACTATTTTGGCCTGGTTTGGATGCCAGCATCTAATAGTCCAGAGCCCAATGCCAGATAATGTAACTCTGTTCTTCCATCACAGACTAAAGATCCCTTGATACTGCTATCTAACTCTGAATTCCAATTCCAGCAAATTGTAATTGACTTTTTCAACTTACATGGTAGAAATTGTTATGTATGCAGAACGGTACACTAGTTGGGTGGAAGTGGACCTAATGTCATCTGTGAGTAGCAACACCCTGAGAACTTGGTTCTACACATATGGTACACCTTTAAGAAATAAAGGTTTCAGTTTGACATTCCAACCACCTGAAGAAGACCAGAGTGTACAATGGCCAAAATGTTGTGATAAATATGGCAACAAAGATAAAAACAATAGTCTGAATAATGTAAATAATGTACATAATACCTCATCTCAGAAATATAGACAGATACAAAAAGTTTTTACTTATGTCAAAAGTTATTGCTTGTATAATAGCACTTGGATTTAAAACTAGCTATATCCTTGTCTATCAATTATATCTCACTCAGGTTATTCTTTAAAAAAAATTGTATGAAAAGTTTCCTTTATTTTAATTTCATAGAATAGTATAAATTCTGAGTTCATTTCTGATTATTGAAATTTAGAAGTAATAAATTTTCTTAGAAACTGTTTCCTTGATCATCAAAAATTTAGCCTTAAGCAAAAATCAAAATTCATATTGTTGTAAAGGGGAAATAAGCTGAATTAGAAATAAAGATTTTTAGAATACAATAATTTGTGGTAGCCATCTATGCTAAAAATAAAATGGTCTCTTTATACTGTTAGTTTGAAGATTTTTCTTACCGAATTATCTTCTCTATAGAGAAATACAATTGCTATGAAACTTTCAATTATAAATTATTGCAATTATATAGAAAAATTATTATGATAAATATAATTTACATGAGAATAGCACTTTGATGCCACCAGAAAAACAATTTTGAAGAAAATATTCTCTGGATATGACCATATATTATTGGTAAGGCACTTCTTAAATTACAACTGATGAAATATTCAGATGTTTTAAATATTATATTTTCTACCACACAAAGTTTAATTCTGAAGGCTGTTTTAATGAACATTGCTGAATGGGTATTTAATGCCAGTCACACTAGTTAGCCTAGGGAAAAGGCATGCATCAGAAAGTTTCAAGTTTCTCATTTGATAAGTGTTCTGTTTCTGGTAAGCATTAGATCATTGCATTGTGTGAAATTGATATTTTTGTACATATCTTGCTGAAAAGTATAAAAGACCGAGATATCTAGAAGAAAAATCAATGTGATATAATCTTGTCTGCTTCTTAATAGACTTAAAATAACGAGTTTTGTTAAATTTTCAAGATCAGTTGAATGTCTTGAGAATTTGGGAAAAAAGTCTTCTGAAAAATAGTAACCCCATTAATCAAATATGTTGAAAACAAAGCAGTAAAATCACAAAAAATGAGTCTTTCAAATATTTTTAATTAAAAATCAAGAGAAAATTATAACTGTAAATTGTTCATTATAAATAATGAAGACATTTTGTAAAACACTAAAAAGCATTTAAATATAATGATAAGAAATATTAATTTGGGTTTATTTTTATTAAAAATATTCTTGATATGCAATTCAAAGCTGAGAAAGCAAGGTGTATATTTAGATTATTTTAACAAATAAAATCTTTTGAAATGGAAATTTAATAGTCGTCCTGACTTCTTTGTTCTTTCAGATCTTTATTAAACTTTAATGTAACACTGTAAGTCTTACTTTCAAAGCCTGCAAAATTTGATGTTCTAGAAATCAGTATATTTTTTTATTTCATATTTTCATTAAAATAATGATAATGTAATTACTTTTTTGCTAGATGAATTTCTTATGGCAAAAGAAATCTATATAATTCTTATAAATTATTAGTAATCATAGTCTGATATATATAAAACAAAAATAATTTAATACCAAAATAAAATCTGTAATTTTTTTCTATGTATATAGCTTTTAATGTGAAAATGCCTTTCTATCTAAAAGTGAGATGGGCAACGTAACTGTGTAGTTAAAATAGATTGTAAAAAGTGTTTCACAATATGTTAACATTGAAAACTCAATGATGATATTCATTGGAAAATTAACTATAAATGTTATGTAGTTATAAAATGGTCTTCTTTCAATATAGGAACAGCAGAAAATAAATCAATAAAATCTTTTTTTCATTGATGAATGTTAACAAAATGATGAGTAAAAAGCTTTGTTCCCTTCCAGTTTCATTGTAAAATTAATCAAAATGATTTTCCTGTTTAAAAAATAAAGCTAAGAATATTAATTTAGAAAAATGCTTTCCTAAAATGTAACTCTTAAAAATTCAATCAAGATATCAATATTAACATGTGCTGCTCTCAGTATTTTTAGAAAGCAAAGCATTTGAAAAAAATAAATTTCATTAGACAATTTCACAATAAGCTAAAAAAATATTTTTAATGTAAAAAAAAACAAAAAACAGAAAAACTATGAATTTTATCAACTGCAATAATTATAAGTTGCCTTGAAATGTTAAAACATTGGGAAATTGAGCCCCTAATTTTCTACATGCCTAAAAGATTGATCAAAAATTAGAAAAAGAAGACACTTAATATTGGACATTGGTCAGAATCATGTTTTATT